AAGCTGGCCAGGGAGGAGAAGCGATTCAAGGAAGAGCTGGAGGCTTCAAGGAGGGAGGTGGAAGAAAGGGAGAATGCCTTGGAGATGATTAAGAAGGTGAGTTTGTTAAAAGATCCTGGAGGTAGGGTGTCAAATAGAACCATTTGTATTAGTCTTATTTTAATCATTTAAAAGAAAAAAAAAAGATCCCTGAATATGTTTTACCTGGGCTCACTTTTAGTTAAATTTTTGTTGATTATGGATGTTCAAATTTATTATTTGATGAAAAGATGAAAATGCAAAATAAATAAATAAAAAATAAAATCAAGTTAAGTTTAGATATATTGGGAGTTCAAGTCTCTTATCAAGCATTGTGCAAGTGGAGTGGTGCAACTGTCCACTTTGCCCCTAGCTGATATTTTCTGACCTAAAAAGACTGTATCTCTCCAGGAGAAGGAAAAGGCTGACACCAAGGCTCAAGACCAAGATGAACAGATCCTGGCCCTGAAGGCCCGTCTCCAATCTGAGGAGGTCCAGATGCAGAACGATGCCGCGGGAGCCGCGTTTGCTCTGCAGCCTGTCTTGAATGACCTGAAGGACAGATATAAGAGATACAAAAACAAATATGACCTGGCTCGGATAGAGAAAGAGAACCTAACAAGACGCCAGGTATGTATGTTTTGTTTATAATGTTTCTTAAAGATTTTGAAGTTGTGATTGTTTTGTATCCTTACTGCACTTGGTGAGTTTGAAGGCAGTAAGTTTTATTTTTCTTACTTTATTTGAATGGTTATGCTGACACCTGAAAGATGATACTTATAATGTCCACATATCTTTGATGGCATTTGATGTGTATTTATGGAGTTTTTCACGCACCAGGGAAATTTGTTTCAGAATCCTATGATGATATATTTAAAAAAAAAAAAAAACTTGTTGCCTGCATATTGAAATATTGTTGAACCAAATATCGCTTCTAATGTTTGTGGTTAGTGATATTTCTGAGAGACGGAGGAATAGGAAGTGAGAAAGGTGGGGATGGGGGACAAAGTTGTAAATTTTTTCAGCCTTAATAGCTCTTCATTAAGCTCATCTCTTCTATTTGATATAACATCAGGAGCAGTGGAAGCAGCAGGAGCAGGACCTGAGGAGAGAGGTGGATGACCTGAAGGCCAGGCTTAAGATGGGGGCAGATGAATACAAGGCACTCCACATCCAGTACCAGAAAGCAACCAAGAAACTCGCTGGTGGGTTTTGTGCACCTTTTTTTCCCCAAAAACGTTGCGTATTCAGCCCAGTTTTGTTGTTCTAATTCTAAACAGTCCGTGTTGTTGCCACTTTTCCCAATGTCATATGGTTGTAAAATTGGTGCTTGTGTTACAGTAGTCGCATTGTGTTGTTGTAGTCAGTTTACTGGTCACAGAGTCTTATGAGCTAGAAGTCTACTTGATCTTTTGTCTTGAAGGGCCTGTAGATTGGAAAAATAATGCCATTGTAGGAAATGATCTGATCTGAGGCCCAGATAAGAAGTAGTCCTTAAGTAACTTATTACTTTTCTAAAAAGAAAATTAGTAGACTGTGTGTTGAGTGAGGGGTATGCACAGATATATATATAATATATATATATATATATACAACTGTGTATGATTGTCTTTCAGCAAAAGAACCAAAAGTGGAGAAGAAGGCACCACTGGTGGAAGAGGTGCTGACGGAGGTCGCACAACAATTGAAAGCCACAGAGCTGGATGCTGCCTCACCATGTAAGCAATCAGTGGCTGTGTTCACACCTTGACCTAACTTACTACACTGGACTAGACTAAATGATCTCACTGGAAGAAGGGAAAGACCTTTAGCTCAAAAATTGGTGTAAACTTTAGACCAAAATTTTTGTCTTGAAGGACCAGTAGAATGTACTTCAATTGAATATAAAATATCTATTCTGGTCCAGTTGAATGAAGTGTTGGTGTGAATAGTTAGCCATTTTGCATTTAAATATTTCATCTACTGGACTACTAATTTATCCTAGGGGTTAAAGTAGACTTAAATTTTTGTCTCAAAGTTTAGACCAATTTTTTCAGGTTTTGGCTTTTTTGTGAAACTAGCCCCAGACTACAGAAACTCCCATCAGAATTTTTCTAAAGCTATATAATTTATTAAAATTTTAATTGTTATTGGTAAGAAACATGTAGGATTTTAATAAAGATAAAAACCTCATATCCTCAGCAGCAGCAGCAGCAGAGACCAGAGCAGACCAAGGTGGGGACTTTGAAGTGGTCACCAGTATACCAACCAGTAGCTTGTCCATTGAAGAACTGCAGGCTCAGTTTGATGATTTGGGACAAGAATTGGAAAAGAGGACCATGAAGAAAAAGATGTACAAACAGAAGTAGGGAACGTAACTTTGAGATATATATTATTACATGACATTTTGAGGGTTTGGTTGCTGTCATATATAAAATAAAGTCACAATGTAGAATACTTGCTTACTTACTTAGTACTTAATCTTCTCTGTGAATGGGTCCACATAAGGCAAACTGTAGAATAAGATCATAAAATGTGAATGTAAAATGTATAATACAATTATATGAAAATTATAAATTTTTGTCAGTGAGCAAAATGATGCCAGAAGCAGTGATAACCCAGGCTCTTAATGAATATTTTAAGTGTTTTAAATAGTCATCATAAATTGGTGTTAATGTGCCAAAAATAATCATTAACAAGACGTAAATCCCTTACCACTGTAAGTTGTTTAAGTATGAGAATGTCAAAGTATAAAGATTTATTCTTTTATTTGCCAGATTCTTGGATGAGAGAGAGAAGAATGACTTCCTGCGTAAGCACTATGAGGAGGAGCTTCAAAAGAAAACAGCACTGATTTCTGATTTGAATGGCAAAATTGAAGCCCTGGAAAAAGATAGTGCTGGAAATGAAAAGATGTTGGCGGTGAGTTGAGGAGGAAAACACAGTGTTCTTTCTATGTTATCTGGCTATTCAGAAGTACAGCTTTTTTTCATGGCACTTGCTAACAAGTGCATTGACAAAAAAAAAAAATGAAGAGAAATTCCTTGCATAAAATGAATCTAATTTATTCTCAATAATGTCATTCCAGGAAGTGTGCAATAAACAAAAACTGGAAATAACTCGTCTAAGTGGGATGCTGGCTGCAGAAAGAGGCAACAAGACCGCCAGTTACGCCTTGCCACCAGATGGCTTGCCCAGCCCAGCAACGCCACCTGTGATAATGGAGTATGGGAACCCCTACGCACCTGTTCTCCCTCCAGCCCTTTCGCCAGAAATAAGGCACCCTGCCATGGGCAATCCTTTGTTAGCCGCAGAGAGCACCCTTTTGGACCCGCCCATGAAACCCGAAATTCTGCCCTCGGCCAAGGTGGCTGCCGTCATGGCCGTTCACAAAAAAGAGAGTAGCAGTGGTGAGTAAAGCTAAGGCAGGATTCTAAGCTGTCACAAGTTACCGGTGATGGTTCATGGTTTTAAGAACTAGGTCAAAATGTGCTAGAAGAGCTGTGGTGCCCAAAAAAAATTGTGGTATTACTGTAACAGCAGAAGGTGATGAAGACTGAAGTATGTTATGGCTGTCCTTATGTCCTGTACTGACTTGCTGAACACATTACGTTTTTGACAGTTGCACTAATGGTAATTACAGTGTATATTTATATTGCAGAAAATTCCTCATCAAGTTCCACAACAGAGGGCGACGACTTTCCTACAGAACAGGACCTGGTGGCGCCCCCTGCTGAGGAGCCCAGCAAGAAGGATCAAACGGCAGAGGAGGCTGACACACCAGACGGAGAGGAAGAAAAGTAAACTTTTTATGTTCATTGTCATTGCTTCAGTTGGTGATGGGTTTGGTTGAATTTGTGCTTTAAATTGCCAGGCAAAGTAACTTGATATTATTATTTTTTTTTTTTTCTATTTATTTATTTATTTATTTTTATGTACAGACACAGATGTGTCTGTACATATTGCCATCACCTGCGTCTGTCGTCGCCGTTCATGTCGCCGTCGATGTCGCCGTCGCCGTCGCCGTCGCCGTGCACTTTCAGCGTTAACACCACAAATGGAAGACAGTTTTACTTTTTGGCTTTATATTTACAGAGCTGATGAATATTCATAAAATGCAGGTCAAGTTCGAAAATCAGCATGATCGGGCCATTATTGTAGAATTTATGCTGTTTTTTCACTTTTCAGCATATATGCAACACTGTTAACACATTTCAAAGAAAACCGATAGGCCTGTTGTCATGAAACTCACAGGAGTAATCAATCTTACTAAAACGCAGGTCAAGTTCGAAAATCGGCATGATCGGGCCACCATTTTAGTAGTTATGCTGTTTTTTCACTTTTCAGCATATATGCAACACTGTTAACACATTTCAAAGAAAAC